AGCTAGGTTGGAGGTCATTGCAGCTAGGTTGGAGGTCATTGCAGCTAAGTTGGACGCCATTGCACCTAGGTTGGAGGTCATTGCAGCTATAGGTTTGAGGTCATTGCAGCTAGGCGGTCATTGCAGCTAGGTTGGAGGCCATTGCAGTTAGGTTGGAGGCCATTGCAGCTAGGTTGGAGGTCGGAGGCCATTGCAGCTAGGTTGGAGGCCATTGCAGCCAGGTTGGAAGCCATTGCAGCCATGTTGGAGGCCACCGCAGCCAGGATGGAGGCCATTGCAGGCGTCGGCCCAAGTACCTGTCAGACGGTGCACCTGCGCAAGCAGATGACTTGGGAGGGAGCGTTTAATCCGGAGCCATGGATCCATACTGTGGGTGAGGGATCTTCGATATCCCTAGCTGGACGAGCCTGGATTTTTGACAGCAAGTTGATGGCCTATAGCTGCACTACATGGCTGACTGGTCAAAAGTTTTGTTTGATTGGAGCCCACCTCGATTTTCTGTGATCTCTGCCCGCAAGAGCTCGAAAGATGGCATATTGTTCGTTGATGCAAGCCACGCCACATTGGTGACGCACGCACCGCCGACAAGCAAGTCAGCGACAGATGTAGTTGACATTTGCGCCGGATATGCTATCATGACAGCTGGTTACGAAGGGATTCACTGCAAAGTGCGCTGCCATGTCGAGATTAACGATCGCTATGCCGAGTGGCTTCGACCCAAGCAAGTCCCAGTCCTCCATGGTGACATCGACTGTGAGGAGACCCTGCAGGCCTTAGCTGAACACATGGACACCCCTTGCATCATCACTGAAAGATTTTGCATGCCAGCCCTTTTCGTCTCTTGGTGATCAACGACGCCAATAGGACCCCAAGGCCAGGAGCACCGGAAATTTCTGCAGCTCAGGCAACCGGATGAACAACCGTGGTTCACCGTCTTGTCCTGCGCGGTGGCCAAAAATCGTGGAGATTGCAAATCTGTTGTCGACAGGAATATCCGGTGCTCTGACAGAAGGAACTGTCATTGCCTCTTTGGTGCACTCCACTACCATTGCAACTGGCTGAAACAGGTAGCATGTCTTGATCATTACTTTGTTGCCCGCCATGCCACAATGGCCTGAACATCAGGTGCAAGAGTTGAGCCTTTCTGCGCATGAGCTCGAAGCATTCGACAAACTCGAAGTCGCACACCTGTTGCACCTGACAACCCCGATCTCGGCTGCAGGCATTGCACTACTCATTCTCGACCATGCAGACCCACGATTGCCACCGCATGCCGAACCGATCAGGGTCCCGGCTATGTCGGCCACCACAGGGGAGCCCATGCTTGTTACTGCTGCTTTGCTCCAGCTCGGCACCCAGACGGTCAGTCGACGTGTGCCGGTTGAAAGTTTTGCACTCGAAGAAATCCAAACTCGAGCGCTCAAGGTGATTGCGTACAAAGACGAATGGCCAAGTCAGTGGGCGGGGTTCATCCAACACCCTGTGAAGGCAGTGTTCGAACACCATATCATGCAGCATGAAGCCTTCCCACAAACTGAACATAATCCTGGATGTTTGGGATAGGCAATCACTGGATGCCAAGCTAGCACGCACCCAGATTGGACAAGCTGAAGTGTTCGCGTTTCTCGTTCGGGTGACAGAGAAGTTCGCAGACCACCTCATGCCCAGCGCAGCTGTCGATGGCATTTACTTCGAACCCAGGACCATGGACGGCCGTCAACCGGCCCCACAGTTTCATGTGATCTGGACGCCGCGCAAGACATTAGCTGAGGTTCGATTAGCGAGGAGCCAAACGGAGGTGAAGACAACCATTGTCCGCATGGGCCCAAGGCTTGGCCTCCGGGTCAGCAGAGAACATGCCGAGCAGGTCCACAAGCAGCACCGACCCGACTTAATGTTTCTGGATGGCCAAGAGCTCAGACCCTACAAGGTGGGACCTTTCCCGTACGGCTCCACCAAAGCCTCGCTGTCCAAGGGTTTCAAGCACCTCGGCTGGAACGCACTCTGTGCAAGTTCATGAAGGCATCTTTTGGCAAGTCATGGCCCCTCAAGAGCCTTCCCACTGGATCTACCAAATCACGGAGACATTTTGATTGCCAAGCTTGAAGACCAAAGGGAAGTGCCGATCCCGTCCTCCAACAATATCATCGCCCCCAAGAAGACTATAGCGAACCTGACGCATCCAGGTCAGGCCAGTGGAGTTGATCCGTGGCTCACTCAAAATCCATGGCAAAACAGCAAAAAGGCAGTCCAGCACACACCACTGCCAACAGTCACGCCAGTACAACTGGCCGTACTGGAACAGAGGTTGGAGCAAAAGATCCAGGCCACCTCGGCCGATTCCAAGGAAGAACAGATGCAAGTCGATCAGAGCGCCCGCATTGAAGCAGAAAGTCAATCATCAGATCTCGAATCAGCTTCAGGGGTTTGAAGGGAGGATTGATGCCAAGCTGGAGGATCAGATGCAACGCATCGAGTCCCTACTCTCGAAAAAGATGAGGCATGAGTGACTAGGGGTCCACATGCCACCAGGGGTTTTTCAGTTCGCAGTGCAAATAGGCCCGTCGATGCATGGTCCCAGAGAGCCCAAAGACCTCTAATTAAGGGAAAACACTCTAATTAAGGTAAAGACCTTTAAAAACAACCTCTATTTAAAGGTTAATCCTTTAATTAAAGGTCTTTACCCCTTACTTAGAGGTCTTTGGTCCCTTAAAAAAAGTTTAAACCTTTAAATAAAGGGTTTTGGTACTAAAAACATACAACCCTTAAATAAGAGGTTTTGATGGCTCATGATTGGTGGGAAAAACATGTCAAACACATGTTTAACTGAAATGTTTAATCTGGTGAAACCTCCTGTTCCACTAAAGGAGGTGCCTCCTACATGAAGGAGCATTGTAAATTTTTATCATATGAGTTGTATATTGTCTGTTTGAAGGAGAAGCCTCCTGCAAAGGAGACTTCTCCTGTTACCCCATCCCAACCCAGCAACTGCAGCACCTTTTTTCTCAAAGCGAAGGGACCTGGTGCAAGGCTGCAAACTTATGGAACATGGCTTGCGCCACAGCCAAGCAAGTGAGGTTACCTCCTCACCTTCTAGCAAGTTCTGACATTTGCCCTCCCCAATCCTCATCTCTGTAGGTCCACCCAGTGGATGGGGAGGCTTTGGGGTCAAATGTCATTTCCAAGAACAAATGTAGTTTTGGGGTAACCTTGAACAGTTGTCGACCTTGCTGGACAGAAATTTGGTTCAAGGTGACATACAAAGCTGCAAACTTCAAAGCTTCTCTGTGCAAAGCACTTGGTTCAAAAACTTGCTGGCTCAATTGCTGGTAGCAATTGTGCAAATGTTGGGCACATTGGATGACTGCAGCTTCAAAAGAATCTGCATTGTTGAGCAATGCTGTGCATTGCAACAAAGAAAACAAAATCAAGCCTTTTGCCTCTCCTGCTTTGGCTCTCAACTTAGGAGAAGTAGAACTGGAAGACTTTTTCTTGGCTTTGTAAAGCATGGAAGCCTTCAGCAAAGGCATTTGGGAATCAATGGCATACTCCTTGTAGTAGTTCTTCATACTGACATGCAAAGCTTTGCACCTCTGGTCCACATTGTTCCCAGGCAACTTCTCTGACAACAGGACAAAGACAGAACCCAGCCAGTGCAAGGATACCCCAATGTCCATGATGTGCAGCCAGTCCAAGCAAATGATCGACATATCAAAGAAAGGAACTCCTAACAAAGGAGTTGCTCTGTCCAACGCAGCAACAGCAGCCCAGTGGTCTTTCCTATTATGAGCTTGCCTCCACAAGGAACTGGATGACACCTCATGGATCTTGTCTGGGGTCATGCAACACTTCCAGCAGCATCCTTTCTTCTCTTGCCACCCTGGCAAACCAAAAGCTTTTGTAAAAAGCCCAATCTCCTCTGATCTGCAGCAAGATTCCTTTGGCCACAGGAGACAAGCCAAGCTTTTTTCCTCTTGGAATCAGTCTTATCAAAAGGAGCACCATCATGGCGATGGGAAGGCATTATTCCAGCGGCAGCCCAAGTCAAGCTCCATTTCATGACATTCCAAACAGAATTCCAAGTCTTTGGCCCTGCAGCCAAATGTTTTGGAAAAGCTGCCAGAGGGATTCTCAAGCCTTGGTCTGCACAGCTCAAGACAGACAGGCTTAGCATTTCCAAGCTGTGGGTTCTATTGTTATTGAAAGGAACACCGTCACCCCAGATGCTGAGGCCCGCCAAAGAGTCCACACTGCAGGCCAACTTGTTTGCAACCTTGTTCAGATGTTCGAATTCTTGGCTTTGCAAGAAACTGTGGTCACAGAGTCCCTGTGGGCTAGTTGTTTTCTGTGCCAAGGATTGCAAAATCTCATGTGGCAGCCACACTGGAAGGGTTGCAAGCACTTCTTCTTGAGTTCTTAAGTCTGTCACTTCACATTGGAAGTAGTACAAGGAGGGCCAGTGTCTGTTCTTCAGCAACCTCCTCAAAACATCTCTGTGCCTGGCCGGCTTTTGGGGGTTTGCGCCCAAAGCTGCTAGGTCTTCCACACCTTGCCCTTTGGCAGTGGAAGCCTTGTGGCACACAGAAGCTGCTTTCCTGGCAGCAATGTTTTCCTGAAGAACAATCCTGCCATTTCCTTTCTGAAAGCTTTGGCAGGTGGCTCATTGTCAGGGGGTGGAACAGCAGGTCTTTTACTGAGCATTCTCCAAAATGGAGAATCAAGAAAGGTGTTGGAAAAGTTCTTGAGCCAAAAAATATGATATGCACAAGAAAGTGCCAAGTGGTATACACAGCTTCTTCCAGCACTATATTTTAAAGGAGTCTCCTGCTGAAAGGAGGCTCCTTTAGGGAAACC